AGGGTGGATGAGGGGGGGGGGGCTGGGAACCAATCTTATTGCTGAAAGTTAAGTCAGTTTTAAATAATTCTCGGTTGAAAACCTTGAACAGCTTTTAATCCAAGAACTTTCAGATTTCTTTAATAAAATGTTTGTGTTCTTGTTTTCAGTTCTAGTTCTGCTGGCTAGTGGGGCTCTAGGACAAACAAGGTTATTTCTATATTTGAAGTCTTTTTCACTGTTTGTGTGTATGTTCGATCGAAGTCTATTGACCGATTTGCCTCCAATTTTGATTGGGAACTATATTAAAACTCTTCACTATACCAAACTATTCATTCGGTCAGAATACTGCAGATCACTGCAGTAAGCACCTAAAGCTTAGTTTAGGGTGGTACACCACAGGGATGTCCTAAGCACTTGGTTATTATAATATTTAATTATTATTATTATAATAAAGTGCATGTAACCACTGTTGTCTGTCTGTGTGGTTGTACCTCCAATCATAACTCTTGAACCCCTTGACCAATTTGCATCAAATTTTTAATTGAGGAGCTCGAGTAACTTAAAGAATTTTTATGAATTTTGAAATTAAAAGTTTTATTTCAGGCACTACTGGATTCCCAAACTAATTTCTATATAAAGTTTAAATTTGAAAAATATAAAGTTAAATTAAAATCTCGACAATTCGTTTCATATTATCATTTAACTTGTTAGTATTTACATTATCATGCGTTATAGCATAATAATAATAATGATAATAAATTATTATCATTATTATTATCATAATTTCTAGCATCATTGTTATAATCATTATTGATACTATTGTGGCGCCCCTGGATTCCTGGAATGCAGTACACAGCATATTCCATACTTCACATGTTATTGTTTAGATTATGATATACTGCATCTAGTATAAATACTGTTTTTGATAAATATATATTCAGTCAGTTTATTTGATCTTATTCATTTGGTCTTATTCATTTGGTCTTATTCCTTTCGTCGCTACACTATTATTATTATGATAATCATTTTTATTATTATAGTTTGAAGGATGGATCATATGTTCCCGACAATACAGGAAACCAGTTTAAAAGAAAATATTTTTTTTTAAAAACTAAACATTAATGCACAAAAGAGACAGTTTTTTATGTTTATTGTATGAGATGAGATATTTATTTAAACTGTTGATAAAAGGTGAATACGTGCATAACCCCGCCTGGGACCTTACTCCATTCCAACTTTGGAAACAGCGTAAAGAACTCAAAACACAGGTAAGTCATAAAATTGTAAAAAAAAAAGTAAACCTGCTCAATTTAGAATTTTAAATTGAGCTAAAGAACTTTCTAGTATATGGTTCTAACCAATTTTCAATCAAATTATGAGGCGAATCGGCTAAGGTGTTAATGAGTAATGAAAGAAGAAAAAATTAAAAATAGATCAATGGAGATTACCATTTAATATATATTACTAGGCTTTCAGAGCCCATCTTCTGTTTCAACTTTCAATTGTGGCTTTATCTGTGAGCATCTTCTCTTTGTACAAGCAAAAACAAATAATAGTTTGGGGATTTAATAATATTTTTTCGTGCATTTTCAAAATTTTACAAAATAAAAAACTTTTAAACACAAATTTCTGAAATTTTGATCATTCATAAACCTTCCCTGGGGTCACGTGATGTCCCACAAAAAATTTGGGCCCGATCGGTTCAGCCGTTTTGACGTTTATTGGATACAAACAAACAGACAGACTAGACTAGAAATAAGCATTTCTCCGTCATCAATGAAAAGTTTAAAGAGTACCATTGTTAATTAGACATTCTGCACTTTTAAATGGAGATTGGGTGTCACTTGAAATTACGTACACAAACTGCCCCAGAAAATATAATTTTGTCCAGAGCGTGGATGATGTAGCGTTGAATCTAGTTTCTTCTGATGCCCCCTCCCTATCCCTGGTTACAAATCAAAGACGACCTGTCCCGGCTGTTGTACAAAGACCTGCAGTACAACAGAGATTTGCTAACTTTCAGCCGAACAATCTGCCTGCTCTACATCAGACAGTACAACCAGCTGTACAACATTTTAACCCGCAACCTGTACAACAGTTTAATGTAAAAAGTTTACCAGAAGCTAAATCTCAAATGACTGCCGCTGATTTTATAGCTGCAGCTACGCGGCATCCAGACCCAAACTTCGCGTCAAGATCATATTCATACTCAGCACCCAAATATGCAGCGCAGGTAGAAACTAAAAGGCCGAATTTAACATTTTGAAATCTAAAAACTCATAAAAAGGCTTTTTAAATTTTAAACTTGCAAGACCATAGGCGATTTAGGTATAGTGATGTGCATTAAAATGATTCAGATTTGTGATGTGCATTTAGTTGATTCGTTTTTATAGTTAGTTTTTTTTCCAAAAATTTTCTTTCAGGGTCGAAAGCTGGCACAATGTGAGAAAAGCAGGGGTTCATATAATTCCTTTTTCAATCCCATTTGGGATTGACAAAATTTAAAGAAATGATGGAAAA